CAGGTTTGCCGCTTTCGCAACCCGAAGTTTACGTTACCCAAGGGTAACGTAAGCCGAGGTGCTACTGTACTAAAGTGTGCATAAAAATGCATACATCAGTGAAAATATAAAACTGCATTATGCTAGGTAAATTTGTTTTGTGTTATGCATGGTAAAATTGTGTCTATTAGGGGAAAGTACATACAAAGATGCGTATGTAAAATGCACAAAAATTTTCATGAGGACTTGTTTCTCAAACTGATGTGAAAATGTGAAGAATGGAAATTTAAGACTGGGAAACTGAGAAACCGAGAAGAAACCAACATTGATAGATTTGTCCATCCCTAAGCAAATTCAACAAGACTGAACCCTCTGTGCTGGGAACCAGAAAATTGGAACTTGAAAACTGGGAGCATGAACACTCCTTTCAAATGTCAAATGATTTGTCTACTGCGTTTATTTCTATTTGTGTCTTTTTAGTGGTATCTTCTTTAACCTTTATATTAACTACTAGTTAAGTTTAGCCTTTCCCCCTCCCACACCTATATCAGGGGATGAATGGGAGTCAAGCCTATTTAAACGCATTGAAGTGCATTAGCATGAAAAATTGATGCAACCTTACGGCACCCTCATTTAAAGGTGCCTTTAAATTAGTTATAACATCTGCTGTCAAGTGACTTGCTGACATCAGATCAGATTTTGACATTTTTAACTAGAGTGTCCCAAATGAACATTCTGGCTTCAGTGATATACGGCATATAAGGGAGACAAGAGCCAAATGTTTCTGTTTCTTGTCCATGGCTTCCTTTTCCTTCAAATTTGCATGATGTAATTGTTGTTTCCCCCCCCCAAAAAAAAAAATTCTAAGCTCAAAACTGCCACATAAGGTTGTATAGGGTATACCCATCTTTATAGAAGAATAATACATAGGACACAGAAAAGGGTCTCTGCGAAATGTACACTAAGGTACAACTTTTTTTACAACCTCATGTTCCAGTAGCTTAGTTAGATGAACTTTTGCCTAAAAACAAAGGAATGAATTGTCATTTCCAAATATTTGGGGGGAAAGTCACCCTGAAATCAATAAATTGATTTTTGTATATGTAACTGTATAATGTATTTTGTAATATGCATAGCATACAAGAAAAATAGAGCTTGCAAATTTTCTAATACTTGCACTGGCAGAGGAAGAGGCGTGTGGGGGAGCACATTGCCCCCAGCAGTGCAATCCCAGCGGGGTGCCTTTGTGGCTGTCCACCCCCCCTCTGCCCGTGCTGGGCTCCACGCACCTACGCATGGCGCGCCCCCAGGACACACACCAGCCCTGTCCCCACCTGCTCTCCGCCCCCCAGTGATGGAGCATGAAGCTCCGCCACTGAATACTTGTACAATGTTTTATGCATTGTACAATGTACAGTGGTACCTCGGGTTAAGAACTTAATTCGTTCTGGAGGTCCGTTCTTAACCTGCAACTGTTCTTAACCTGAAGCACAACTTTAGCTAATGGGGCCTCCCGCTGCCACTGCACCGCTGAAGCACAATTTCTGTTCTCATCCTGAAGCAAAGTTCTTAACCCGAGGTACTATTTCTGGGTTAGCAGAGTCTGTAACCTGAAGCATCTGTAACCCGAAGTACCACTGTACACCACTTCTTATTGCTTAGAATAAACTGAGGTTGCAGTTTGTCTTTGTTTCTGCTGCAAGCACTATAAAGTTCCTGTATCACTGTGATTGCACGACGCACACGGATCACTTCTTGGTATCAGGAGTACCGATGGCTCCTGCTTCCAGTGATTCTCACCAAAGTGATTAGGCACCAAAAAGACAAGTGACAGAGCCTAATATTTTAGAGAAGGGAAAAGCTTGAGCTTCAAGATTTCAAGAGATAACATGTCCATTGTACAGGCCTGCCAATGAACAAGGCTACAGTCAGACAAAGATTAAGCATAGGGCAAGTTACGTTGGCTGCTGAAAATCACAAGAAGCAGAATTCTTTGTCAAATATTGTAGGTGTCTTCCTACAAAAAGCAAAAGTTGGATCCAATTTTAGTCATACCCATGAAGGTCAGTGGTACTTACCCTACTTACCTGGGCATAAGCCCTGGTGAATTCAACAGGTCCAACTTCTGAGTAGATGTGATGAGGATTGCATGGTTCCAACCCATTGTACTTTAATTGGATGTATTGTTTTAATATGACATAGCAATTTCAAGTTGTCGAAAGCTGTGCTGAATAGTGAACGATGGTGCACTTAGAAGGTCAGGACAGAAATGTTTATATAGATAAAGAAATGACTATTGCCCCAGTCAAGCACCCCTGCAGAAAAGGACGTGACAGCCCAGCTACTTGAAGAGAAAGGCAAACCAGGTGAACAGCAGTGCAGAAGATTTACAGCTTCTGTTGTTATAGACTAATCGCGTGAGCAAAGATTAGCTATAGGGGGTGCTGTTAATGCTCCTAAGCCCGCACTAAAGAGATTAACTTTTTTAATTTACTCTCTACTTTTTAATAACCTTTACACAGTTGCCAAATAAAATAGCCCTGTTGCTTACAACCTGTGCTTACTTTGCTGGAAATCTGGCTCTGGAGTAATAGGAAACAACTTTTAACAACAGTTCTTGTCATGTCAGATTTTTTATAAAAAAAAAGATCACTGCGACGCATCTTTGTTTGCAGAGGAAGAAAAATGAAACCATATTGCTGCTTATTCTCCCCTCCACCCATAAACTTGTTAACCTTTCATCAAGCTTGTCATTCCGAATGAATATCAAGTGACCACAATATGTAACAATATTTGGTCTTCCATCACATCCAAAAATGACGCTGTGCAAATATGTATGTGGTCTGGTTGTGGAGACAGCAGCACACGTGCATCTCTTCATCGTTACCCCTTCTGTTTTAGGACAAGAGGACATTTTCCCTCACCCGCGGAGAGGCCTTGGTTTATCCCTGAAAATACCCTTCCTATTTTGTGGCCCCTATCCTTGCTCATAATTGCTCCCTTCCCTGAAAATTGTGATCCTTGCACTTTAAGCTTTCTTGCTCCTGCCATCTGCCACCTAATCAATCAAATGTGTGGGTGTTCATTTAGACCTATTCTCTGGGACACCAGAGAGGCTGATTGAGCCTTACACGCTGCCTTAAAGCCAAGAAGAGGGATATGTGGCTTAAAAATGTGTGTGTGTGGTAATTTTGAAATACCTGGCTTATTTCAATAACAGATTGTTGTCAATTTTATTAATTTCCAATATGAATCATGCCCATGAGGCAATGGCATTTTAATATGTTTAAAATATACAAGAAGAGCAAGATTTTCTGCATCCTACATCAAAATCCCTAAGATAATGTCATTTAGATGACCACGGTACACTGATTTAATGCTTTCAAAGAACTATCCATAATGACAGTTAGTTTTATTTCTGGAGCAGCAGTAGCTGGACAAGATTCAAAGTGTGTGTGTGTGTGTGTGTGTGTGTGTTGGAGAGAGAGAGAGAGAGAGAGAGAGAGAGAGAGAGAGGGAGAGAGAGAGAGAGATAGATTTAGGTTGTTTTAACCAATATGTTTCCCCTTGCATTTTTTCATAGTCGAATACCTTAGTGTTTCCAGGTTCCATCAAATGAAGCATCACTTTATGAATAGCTACTTTTCCTTGTGGAGAGGCACTGAAGAGGAAAAAAAGAGTTTTATTGATTTCCCCCTGTTTTATATTCCATATTACAATACACTGGTGTGAAAAATAACACGAGGAAGAATAAACGAAAACCTATTCAACAGAAGTACAAAAAGACCTGGCATGGACAGCGGAGTCAGGGTGTGCTTGTCAGTTTCACATACCCAGGGCTTTCTCAGCAAAGAAGGACTATTTGCTTCCAGGCCTTGGCTGGGTGGTCACAGAAAAAGAAAGGATGATGAGGGGCTGTGTTCCTGCTCACCCTGTTTGCCAACCTCCACCCTCAGCCATTCTCCCACACTAACACCCTAGAGTTTCCTCTTCCCACCCCATAGAACCACTAAGCCTGGTTTTCACCCTCCCAACTCACGTCTCTCTTTTATTTGCAGCCCCACTTTTCACCTTCACCCCATGCCCATAGGTTCTCCCACCTCCCTTTGTGCAATACCCCCCCCCTGCGGTTGCACACAAACCACCCCCATGGTAACCTCCTGCATCTTCCTCCTCCCACACACTGAGCACCTGTTCACCTTCCACCCGGTTATGGAGCCACCATCCTTTCCTGTTACATTTTTATTTATAAAGGAAGACACTCATTACTGATGCATTTTTTGTTTCTAAGTCCCTTTAATCTTAAAGGAACTTTCTTCCAAGTCAGGGTGTTTAAGGTCACAGCCTTTGTCAAACTTGTAACCAGGAAAAAATAAATCTATTTTAAGCTTCTCTCTGCTAATCTGACAATGAAAGCAATGGAACATCATGAATCTCCAGCTGGCGCACTTTTGTACAAGTGCCATTCATTTCTGTGAAGCTGCGCCCATGAAACGCTTTGAGGAGCTAATTAATACTGTCAGGAGGACATCTAAAGCACGGGGCCGTGTCCCAATGGGATATTCAAATAGGTTCACGAGCTGCCCTTAAAATGCACGCATGGAACAGCCCCTATAGAACGAGAGATCCAACCAGGTTGCTTCTCCTTATGTGAAAAGTTGTGTCATCTTTGAATGCAGCAGCTGGCACTGAAATGTTTGATTTGGCTCTCAGTCATTTCAGCCAATGGCCATGATACCAATAAATAAGTAAATATACAGGTGTATGTAAGCACAGTATTCACTTCCCATCAGCAGAAGCCCTGTGTGAGGCAATGGGACATTTTCCTCTCTCTTTACACTGCATGCCCTTCGCAGCCCCTGAAATAGGCTCGGGTGGGGAGCGGTCAGGAAAACCTCAGAACAGCACAGGGAAGAGGCAGAGGGGGAATGGTTTCATCTTGCAAGCTGCAATGCAAAGCTTGTACACATAAAACTACTGGAAGGCTGCGAGATTGAATTCCTCACAGTGTGTGTGTGTGTGTGTGTATGTCTCTCTCTCTCTCTCTCTCTCTCTCTCTCTCTCTCTCTCTCTCTCGTGTGTGTGTGTGTTGGGGAGAGACAGAGAGAGAGAGAGTGAGAGAGTGTCATGGATTTGTGCATCCCATTCTTTACAAGAGGCATTTATATTGCCTGGGGGCAGCCAGACATTTGCAGGTGTAAAATTTCAGGTGGTAGCTAAACATTGTTGCCCAATATATTTTCCTCTTCCAAAATAGCTATGGCAGAACCTTGAGTGTCCAAAGAAATTCTACATTGTTATAATGATACTCTACTCTTCCTTTAGAGCACATGGCTCCCAGTGATCTCTCAGCTGAGCACTAATCAGATCAATGCTGCTTAACAAATCTATTGCATTTGGTACCCCAGTGCATTCAATGGACCTGAAAATGGGAAGCTGCTAGCTGAACCCTAAGTTTGCATCCTGTTTTATTTCCACCAGATACAACTCCTTAATCTAATGTATGACCCTGAAAGGGAAATGTTCAGTCAGATATTATTTTCCTAAGGAGGGAGCAAATTAAGCAGATCCAGACAACTGAATTGCATACACAGATTCACAGACACAAAATGGAAATAAATTAAGGAAACTGGAGGACCTGGGCTGCTGAATCTTTGCAGAGCCACTTATAGCAGATGGAAAATTACCCAGATGCTTCTCTGCAAATAATCTATGAGATGCTGAAAACAGCTCAAGAAATTCTTGCAACAATAACATAAAACAGGCCATTTCTGCTATCAGCACAGAGAACCAACCCAACATCGCTGCTTAAATTAAATTTTGTTCTATTTTCCTGGCTTGCCTAATAAATTGGTCACAAAGCAAACTACAGGACAAGGTCATGGAAAAAAGTCACAGGGGGGGAAAGAATGCCATAACTCATTAGTATATTTCTCTGCATTCGCAAATACAGTTCTGGTCATATCTCATACACTAAGCAAGTTTGCCTTGAATTATCACAGCAGAGCATGTAAGAGCAAAGGAAAACCGAACTGGATAGACAGAGCTGCACATTTCCAAAGATCCCAATAAAAGCCCTAAGCCAGACACTGAGGATGTACATGCATTACAAACTTATTTCCCTTTTTATCAGATTAACTGACATGGCTCTCTCAAATGATCCTGGGATTTGCGGAATACATTCTATTTTAAGTTTAAGGTCTTGCTTTTAGTGTATAAATTATTATTATTATTATTATTATTATTATTAGCAGCCCTGGAGATGTCAGGGATTGTACCTGGGACCTTTTGCAGGCAAAACAGTTATTGTACCACCGAGTCATGACCCTTTCCTATTTGGACAACTGATGTAGACCAGTAGATGTGACAGAGGACTGGACAAGATGAGAACTGGGGAAATAAGCAGGAGAAGTCATGAAGGAACTAAGGCTACCTTATCGTCTGCTTCATTTGGGGATTTAGAAGGAAACATACGGTGTCTGGAGTAAGAAGTAGCAATCCTGGAATTGGGTCATGATTTCTTCAGTGGGTACCTATGATTTCAAACCTAAGAACACAACTCCAGACATTTTGAAAATTAACAAACGGTTCACAGGCTTTGAAGCAATCAATATCCGTTCTTGGTGTGCAAAACAGCTCCATTACAATCAATGAAAGTTTTACCATTCACCTCAGTAAATGCTGGATTGCTGCCTTAGGTTATTGCTCTTTTGATTTCAGGCTAATTTACATGGGTCTTTTCACAGACCGATCTAAACCATGTTTATTTAGAAGTAATTTCAATGGGCTTAATGTCCAAGGGGGCAGGTCAAGGACTGTGGCCTTGGAATGTCAACTAGAATTACGGTGAACTACACCACTTTCCTCAGCTATGGATTGTCTGCAAACAAATTTAAGTACGCTTTCCATTGGTGTTCCACCAACAGTTAATTCATTTATACAGTGGTACCTCGGGTTACATAAGCTTCAGGTTACATACGCTTCAGGTTACAGACTCTGCTAACCCAGAAATCATACCTCGGGTTAAGTATTTTGCTTCAGGATGAGAACAGAAATTGTGCTCCGGCGGCATGGCAGCAGCAGGAGGCCCCATTAGCTAAAGTGGTGCTTCAGGTTAAGAACAGTTTCAGGTTAAGAACGGACCTCCAGAATGAATTAAGTACTTAACCCGAGGTACCACTGTAGTGCAATCCTGTATGTGTTCTACTGTTTAAATTGTGGGAGATCATGCACTCTAGGAAATGTGAAATAGCACCTTATAGCTGCCCACTGTGGCTGCCAGGTAGGCCCATGACTTGGTGAATTGGTATAGCAGGGGATTTGGGGTGGGGGATACTTTGCCAAGAGCTCTTCATTCCTGGACAGCATCTTTTTGCTCTATCCTTATTCATTTCAGGTTTTATGACTCCCACCAAACTTCAAAATATCAGCTTCAGAAGTCTGGCTTCAGGGAGAGAGAGGCTTGGGAGCTGCTGGCTTGACTAATAGGATAGACCTTCCTGTTATAAAGCCTCCCCATTGGTTCCATCAACTGGGATGGGGAATGTTTGGCCTTTCAGATGTTGCTGAACTGCAACTGCTATCACCCCAGCAAGCATGCCCAATGCTTGCAGTTGCAGAGCTGCAGTTCAGCAACATCTGGAGGGCCACCTGATTAAATTGCAAAGTTTGGTGGGTCTTTCTCTCAAGTCCTAAAGCAGTTATCTTACCTTCACTTTCAATTTTGTTGTTAAGTAACCCAAGGACCATTAAATCAATGTGGGTCCCCACTTTCCCTCTCTTCTGAACTGCAAAGGGGGAGGCGCATCCAAGGGCAGTCAAGGGCACAGGGCTACAATGCTGTGATGGACTGCCACGATTCCAGCTTTTGCTTGAAGGGTTCAAGCACTGTAAATCAGCAGCTGTGCCTCTGAAAAGAAGAAACCTGCGGATAAAAAAACCTGGCAGCGCATTTAGGCTGAGTGTTAATGCTCATCTTCTGACCTAATCTGTAAGAGCATCCCACCACCGCCCCAAGCAAGACATAAGATTCTCTTAATGGCCACTCCTGACAGATATTGATTGAAGTGAGAATGCTTTTTCTAATTGAAAAAATAAAACTTACAACTTTAAAAAAATAAAAAGGGGGGGTGTATTCTAGCAATGGAAAAGAAACCCAATGCTTGTATCCACCCTGCCCTGTGTGTTCTCCAACTACAAAGAGTCTTAACTATGCATTTCAATAAAGGCAGCATTTCTGAACACAGCCATCTTCATTCATGCTGGCTACCCTCTGTATTAGAATGTGTGCAGAAAGCGATGCAGACTGGGGAGGAATTACTAGGTTGGACTGACTCAATTAATGTAGTTTTTAAACATATGGCGCTTAAAGGTAAAGGTAAAGGGACCCCTGACCATTAGGTACAGTCGTGACTGACTCTGGGGTTGCGGCGCTCATCTCGCTTTATTGGCCGAGGGAGCCGGCATACGGCTTCTGGGTCATGTGGCCAGCATGACTAAGCCGCTTCTGGTGAACCAGAGCAGCACACGAAAATGCCGTTTACCTTCCCACTGGAGCCGTACCTATTTATCTACTTGCACTTTGACATGCTTTCGAACTGCTAGGTTGGCAGGAGCAGAGACCGAGCAACGGGAGCTCACCCCATCGTGGAGATTCGAACCACTGACCTTCTGATTGGCAAGTCCTAGGCTCTGTGGTTTAACCCACAGCGCCACCCGTGTCCCTTTTATGTGGCGCTTACTAAGGGGTTAAAAGTAACTTACAGCCAGTTTCTATTAAGGCTGGGAAAGGGGTATGCTAGAGTCACATTTTAATACAAACTTACCTAATTTGTATTTTCCAATCCAATATATTAAGCAAAATAGGCTAACCTTTGAAAGTTGCACAACTCCAGATCCTTTGACATAGTTCTCCAGTCCAAAATCTTGTGCAATAAAGCTGCATATTAGGAGGGAGTGCACAGTACTGTTTATATTAGTGAAATGAATGTATAGAAATGCCTTATACTAGGGGAAATTGCTGCAGGCATTCTCGGATGACATGGATGATTTTATTTCAGATCTGGCCATGGAACTGAATTGGTCTTGGTCGCTTTGATGGGTCACCTTTGCAGAGGGGCGGGACAGGAAAAAGCTGGACCAGAAAAGTTGGGCCATAGTAGTTCATGCATTGGTTACTTCAATAATAGATTGGCTTAGTTGGGTAGAGCATGGTGTTGATAACACCAAGGTTGCAAGTTCAATCCCCATATGGGACAGTTGCATATTCCTGCATTGTAGGGGGTGGGACTTGATGATCCTCAGGGTCCCTTCCAACTCCACAAGTCTATGATTTTATGGTTCTGTGAGTCTATGCTATATGTGGAGCTTCCCTTGCTCTTGATCCAGAAGCTGCAGTTGGTGCTGGAGTGAGACCCTGTTAGCACATAACACCTCTGCTCAGACACCTGCACCAGTTGCCAATCTGCTACTGGACCAAGTTCAAGATGTTACTATTAGTTTATAAAACCCTTAACAGCCTGGGGTCAGTTTACTTGCAAGATTGCCTTACCCAATGTGACCACGTCAAGCTGCAGGACTGGCACTGTTACAGGTGCTATGTAATACTGATTCTGCATTTGTAAGAGCTGATCTTTTAGTGTGGCAGCACACAAACCTTGGAACTCATCAGGCCTTCAGTGTATCTGTTTTTGCACCCATTAACAGCATTTTAGTTTAGGCAAGCCAATTGGAACGTTTATAATGTTGATACATGTTTTAAACTGGTCTTTAGTTTGTCATGTATTTTAATTATTTTTGAATGTTTTAAACAGTTGTCTAGACTGTTTTCCCTCCTGATAATTTGTTTTATTCTTTTTGTAAACCACTTTGAGATTTTATTACAATCAAGTGGTATATAAATCTTATGAAATAAAATAAAATAAGCCTGGGGTCTGATCTGACAGAGGATGCACAGCTGGGAGAAAATGAGCAAAGAGGGGCAATCATGGGCCACTGCAGGGGATGGGTTGTGTTGCTCAGTGACAGAACATTTCCTTTGCAAGCAAAAGGTCTCAGGTTCTATCCTAACATCACCAGGTAAGGCTGGGAGAGATTCCTCTCTAAAATTCCAGAGAGTTGTTGGCAGTCCATGTAGGCAATACTGAGGTCGATGGAGCAATGGTGTGACTCAGTGGAAAACTACTTCCTATGAAGCGAGAAAGACTCTTCATGTAATACTTCCACTAACCAGCCACATCTTAGACTGGATAAACTTGGGGTTATTTTCAATTGTGCTCATAAGTGGCGGAGCCATTTTGCAACTCTCAACAAAAAGAGCAACTTCTGATCTGTGAGCATAATCCCTCCTAAATTGACTGAACTTTATCCTAAACTCTCCTTGACATTTGTAAGAGCCATGGGAACGTATTCCAAAGAACACAGCAAATGAATGAAATGTACAAAGCACAGAAACACTGGCAAGGAACTTTCCATTTATGACCATAAAAGAGGGACCGCTTACCGGCTGCTGTGAAGATGCAGCAATTGCGGCCCGGCACAGACATGACGGACAGACTTCTGGTGTTGGCACAGGCCAGAGGAGGGCATCAAACCCCCCAGCACCAGCTGTGCTAGGCTGCCAGGGATCACCCATATTTTCAAGCAATTGTGGATAAGCTGGGGTGTGTGGCCTAAATAAGCCAGAAGTGCCACACATTTGGCCTCAGTCAGTGTTAGATTTGGTCAGGCATAGGCAAACTCGGCCCTCCAGCTGTTTTGGGACTACAACTCCCATCATCCCTAGCTAACAGGACCAGTGGTCAGGGATGATGGGAGTTGTAGTCCCAAAACATCTGGGGAGCCGAGTTTGCCTATGCCTGGATTTGGCAACCCAGAAGAAATGGCGAAGATGGAAGATGGAGTCTTGGGCCTTGAATCAGCCAAGGAGCATGATGGCAACAGAGATGGTGGCGGAGGTGTGTGGAGCCTCTGAAACATCCCGAGATTAGCAGTGGTGGCAGCAGCGGTGTGCTGGGCCTTGCAGGTGGCTGAAGTGTTCATAAGAAGTGGCAGTGGAAGTCTGATGACCACCAAAGAGGCCAAAGTGGTAGTGCATCCAGGTACTAGGGGTCTGGATTTGCCCCTCCCCCCTCCCCCGTTTGCTGTGGTGCTAAACCAAAGGCACTTTTAAGTGCCAAGAGTTGAAACAAAGGCACTTTTCGGTGCCAGCAACCTCACTGGGGAGGAATTAGAGTCAATAGGGCAGCTGCAGCATCTACAGCAAGTCACAAGCTGTGGGATAGTTGACACTGGATGCGCACCCAATGCCTCTGCAAAAACCGGTGCAAAGTTGTGACCTGTTTTATCCTAAAAATGGTTGGACTGTGTCCATGGCAACTTCATCCTGCCTGACCCCAGTGTCCGCAGCTTCACTGCAGCTGGACCCACAACAAGACCGCTCTATAAAACATACAGAGCCGGGACAAAGGTGTCCTTGTTGAAGCTTATTTTCCCTGTTGCATAAACAAAACTTCTTTGTGTCTAGATTTTCATGAGCCATGCCATTGTTCATTCCACAAATGTGTTATGTGTTCAGTGAGGATTAGCTTCTTTGAAAAGGAGAAATGCAGAAGTGAATTCAGGTGCATTTTCTAAATAACAGCAAGTCAACAGAACCTTTTGTACGTATTAGTGCTCCTTCAACCTGCCAGCTGTTTTACAGAGATCAAGGGACTCTGTTGTTTTCCTTTCAATGGAACTGGCCTCCATCCAGCTAAAAATAGTCACAACTAATCCCCATTGAAATCAACACAGTTTACATTAGTCAGGACCCTTTGCTTACAGCAGGACTGTTCCTAGTAAGATATCATGCTTCCTTCTTTATTCAACTGAATTTTGCATTGGTATACTGGAACAGGAAACAAAATGTTGCAGTGTGGACTATTCCTGTGCAGAGTGCTAACCAGCCATGTCCTGTTACAGGAAACTCCATTCCAGATAGCTCAGTTGGTTGAGCATGAGACTCTAAATCTCAGGGTCATGGGTTTAAGCCCCACCTTGGGCAAAAGATTCCTGCATTGCAGGATGAGCCTTGTGGTCCCTTCCAACTCTAACATTCTATGATTCTAGGATTTCGTCTCCACCCCCATCGTTCTGCCCGGACACTGAAGTCAAGCACTGAGGGCCTTCTGGCGGTTCCCTCATTGCGGGAAGCAAAGCTACAGGGAACCAGGCAGAGGGCCTTGTTGGTAGTGGCGCCTGCCCTGTGGAACACCCTCCCACCAGATGTCAAAAGAAAAAACAACTTCCAGACTTTTAGAAGACATCTGAAGGCAGCCATGTTTAGGGAAACTTTGAATATCTGAAGGACTATTGTATTTTAATATTTTGTTGGAAGCCGCCCAGAGTGGCTGGGGAAACCCAGCCAGTTGGGCGGGCTATAAATATTATTATATTATATTATATTATATTATATTATATTATATTATATTGTTGTTGTTGTTGTTGTTGTTTTGGAGTTTCTCCCCACCCCCTGCTTCTTTTAAGATCTTTGAACTTCTGAAAAATCTCAGGCTATCTTCTTCTTGTGCCTGGATGGGACTGTTGGGGCTACATACATATATGTTCTTTAACTCACTGAGGCTCTCCCCTTCCACTCAATAACCCTTTGAGTTTCATTGGTCGTGTAGCTAATTTTATTTTGATAATGTGTTGGAAACGCCTGAAGCTACAGGCCTATTGTGAGTGCTATTGAACTTACTTGAGTTCTTCTAAGAAGACATACGCCAGATTGCACTGTGTAAATTTACTGCAGTGATCTTTTAGAGTATGGTTCAATGCTGTTCCAGCAGCCAGATGCCTGCTCCTTTTCTTTACCCCATTGCCATTTGCAGGTTTTGCCCATAAACAGTGCCTATGCTTTGAGCCTGTGAGAGAAGACAGGGCAGCAGGTGAAAATGATAACCTTTTAGCACAGGTTAATGATCATCACTGTAGACTGAGCTACAGATCAGGATCTTTGGCTTAAATTAGCCTTTGGCTAATTAAACAATCTATGGCCTTTTAACTGTGACAGAGGGTTTATTGTATTTGTTTGATATCATGGTATGTATTTTTGTGTTTTTATATTATAAGATGTCCTTTGATCTTCAGATGAAGGGGGGGAATAGAAATTTTAATATAAATGATGATGATGATGATGATGATAGGAAAATGAGCTTTCTATTACTACTGCAATGGATTGATAGGTAAGCACAGTAAATAAGAAGACATCTAATGAATAAACCTACAGCTTATTGTCAGCCTAATTGCAGCTAGAATGTCCATTGCTCAACACTGGAAATCAATAAAATCAATACGAACATTGCAGAATGGCTTACAATGTATGGGATATAGCATTGCTTACAAAATGGACCTATTACTCAACAATATCAATATCATCCTCAAAATGATAAATGTATAGAGAAATGGTCCCTATCTGATCATTTTAACAATAAGAAATATCAGGAAAATATCCAACCATATATGTTATTTCCTATGTTGTAACTGAATATCTGAAGCAGAAATGGGGAACCTGTAGCCTTCCAGATGTTTTTGGACTTCAACTCCCATCAGCTCTGGCAAGGATGCCCAATGGAAGGAATATTGGAAGCTGGAGTTGATTCAGGTGTTGAAGTTCACAGTTTCCCCACCCCAATATGAATTTTATTAAAATGCTGGCTAAAGTGATATCAAATCAATTAAGTGATCACTGTATGGCCAAGACGGCATGTATTGTTTTCTCTCCTTTCATTCTTTGTTGCTGCTGTTGTTGTTTGTGAACAGCTATGCTAATTTATTGATCTAAATAGATGAATTCCTTACATTTTAAGAAACCCAACCATCAAATGCAATGATCTCCCATAGAAGTGAAAGGCATCCTTCATTTCTGTAAAATATACAGTTGATCAAACATTCCGGGTCCAGTGGACTCCAGTCATTGGCTACATTGGTGTAAGGGGTGGAAGCAGGCTTTGCCCTATCTCAATGGTGTCTTCGTCTGCAGTGGTGTCATTGGCCCATGGAAGCCATGTTAGATCACTATTAGGAATTCCTACTCTGTATTTGTATTGTACAGATCGCTGTTATCTTTGATGTTAATGGAATCTCACATATTTTATTGGCATTGCTTTGCTTGCTGTATAGAAATCACTTTGGGGTTAAACAAGGGGAAATGGTCGAGTTTCAAAAATTAAATACATACATACATTTCTCTTATAGATATGACTATATCTCTGGA